CTGGCCCGTGAGGGCGTCCTGCGGCGTAAGGCGCAGTTCACCGAAAAAGACCTGGAGAAACTGGAGCTTCGCGGCTCCAAAGTGCAGACACTATTTCTCTGCAAGAAGGAGATGCCAGGCGTGCTGCAGACAGAGGTCATCTTCCGATTCATTGACCAGAGTTTCCAGGAGTTCTTCGCAGCACTGTCCTACATGCTTCAGGAGGAGGGGGCTCCTGGGGCACCGACGGGTAGCGTGGGGTCACTCCTGCGCACAGACACGGAGCTAAGTGGACACCTGGCGCTCACCACCCGCTTCCTCTTCGGGCTGCTGAGCACAGAGCGGATCCGAGACATCGAGCATCACTTTGGTTGTGTGGTTCCAGAGCGTGTGAAGGAGGATGCCCTGCGGTGGGTGCAGGGACAGGGCTGCCCCAGGACTGCATCAGAGGGGACGGAGGACACAGAGGAACTAGAGGAGGAGATAGAGGAGCCCAACATCCCCCTAGAGCTGTTGTACTGCCTGTATGAGACACAGGAGGATGCTTTTGTGCGGCAGGCCCTTAGCAGCCTCCCAGAGCTGGCACTGGAGCGAGTGCGACTGAGTCGCATGGATCTGGAGGTTCTGAGCTACTGTGTGCGATGCTGCCCGTCTGGACAGGCACTGCGGCTGGTTAACATTGGACTGGCGGCTGCACAAGAGAAGAAAAAGAAGAAGAGCCTGGTGAAGCGGCTGCAGGGGTGAGTCTCCAGGCTAGGGCTGCGCCTTTGGCAGGCCCTGGTAGGCATGAAGCTTGGGTGCAGTGAAGGCCCGTGCACCTAGGCCCATCTGGACTGAGGAAGCATGTCCAAACCTGAGGCCTGTTCCCCCAGAGGCAGGGAGGACCTCAGGGCTGCTTTTGTTCACCCCCTTGCAAGGCAGCGGCCCCGTGCCCCTCTTCTTCACTAGGTGTCCTCACCATGTTCCAGCACACCACCACCCAGCTCTAGCTAGAGTTCTAGAGTCCACCATGCCCTTGGCACCCTGAGCCGTGCACCTGCTGTCCCTCCCCTCAACACTTTGCTTGCTGCCTATCCTGAAAGCCTGCCCTGGCTGCTTCAGCTGGCCTGGGATTCCACTGGCCCCAGAAGTGCCCTGACGACCACTCTCTACCATGACATTCCCCATGCCTGCTTCTTACACCAGACTTCCAGCTCCTCTGTGACAAAGCTTGTGCAAGAGTTACTTTGAACTTAGCTCCACTCAGCACCTGTCCTGGGTGTTCAGCATCTTTCAGAGGATGAATGTCAGGACATGGGCAGGGCTGGCCCTAGGGACCTGCAGATCCCCTCCTGGGTTTCACTCTAGTTCAGTGAATTAAAGGGTAGAGGGGTCCTAGCTCAACACGAGGGGATGGCAGAGGAAGCACCAAGGCCTGAGGACTACAGAGAAGAAAGGGCCCTGTCTAGGAGGCGCTGAAGCAGTGCAGCAGCCTCAACTTCCTCTCTTCTTGCAGTTCTCGAGCCTCCACAAAACAACTCCTGGGTTCCCCACTGCGTCCACTTTGTGAGGCCATGACTGACCAACAGTGCGGCCTAAGCAGCCTGACGTGAGTAACCATGCCCCAGCCCCTCCCAGGGGGCAGGATGCCCTCCAGAGACAGGAGTATGGGGGGGGGGGGAGAAAGCTGACAGGGGCCCACCCCATCAGAGAGTGAGGTGCTAGTGGGAAAGGTGTGGTGCTGGCGGAAAAAGAGGGGGCTCAGCACCTGGGGGTGGGAGGATGGCAGGGTTTTTTTTTTTTTTTTTCCAAGGAGGCTGCTAGGTGCCATTGGTGACTCCTGGGCCACCCCTCTAGAGGAAGGCATCAGGTGCCCCCTCTGAGGTCAGGCTGCCCATGAATCCTGGCCTCTGTGTGCCCTTGGACAAGCCAGTCTGTCTGGGCTTATGCTTCCTCTCTGTGAAATGCAACCAGCGTCCTCTACCTTGGAGGGTTGATGTGAGACTTCGTGAGGCATGAACAGTACTGAGAATGAGATAGCTGTTCAATTCCTGTCCATCAGGAATGCCCACGCACCAGATGGTGAAATGACCAGAGGCCCACGAATCAGTGGCGACATGGCCAAGTAGTCCAGTGGGTGGGGGGGGCGGGTACAGCAATCTGGAAATACATATAAGGAACCAGAAGGATGCCCACATTTGGCCCAGCTGGTGGGGTCTGGCCCACCTTGGTTTGTGCAGTTGATGTAGAGAAGTGGCCGGGGGCTGGCCCACAGACCCACAAGCTTCTTGACCACAGGCTGTCCTACTGCAAACTCCCCGATGTCGTCTGCCGAGACCTCTCTGAGGCCCTAAAGGTGGCACCAGCCCTGACGGACCTAGGCCTCCTCCACAACAGGCTCAGTGAGGCAGGCCTGCGTATGCTGAGTGAAGGCCTGGCTTGGCCCCAGTGCCGGGTGCAGACACTCAGGTGAGGCTTGGCCTGGGAGAGACAGAGGGATGGGACCCTCCCCCAACAGCTCCTGAGCCAGCCCTCCTCTCAGGGTGCAGCTGTCTGGCCTCCCGGGAGCACTCCAGTACCTGGTAGGCATGCTCCGGCAGAGCCCTGCCCTGACCACCCTGGACCTCAGTGGCTGCCAGCTGTCTGACCCCACAGTGACCTACATGTGTGCAGTCCTGCAGCACCCATCATGCAGCCTACAGACGCTCAGGTAGATTCAGGTGGACAAAGTGTGGGGACGCCGCCGGTAACCCCAGGAAGGGTGGATGCTGGGACTCCCTGACCCTCAAGAGGAGCCTCTCCAGATACCTCCCAAGTGACCAGGCTCAGACACAGATCTGGGAGCCCAGCCTAGAACCCACCCCTGAAGCCCTGGCCCCCACCCTGGCCCTGATCACTATACTGACCAAATATGCACATCCTGTGGTCAGTGATCCCAACACCCTTGGACTCCCCTGAAGGACAAAGGCCCTGAGAGACAGCCTCGGTCACTTGGGCCTGGGGCACAGCCTAGACCAGCAGCCCCTTCGTCACCCACTCCTACTGTGCCCGTCTTGTCCCCCAGCCCTGGAGTTCTCTCCCTCAGCTGACCCATACCCTCTGTCCTCTGCATGCGGCTGCAGTCTGGCCTCTGTGGAGCTGAGTGAGCTGGCCCAGCAGGAGCTGAAGGCCGTGAAGACAGCAAAGCCAAATCTGGTCATCATACACTCAGAGCTGGACAGCCACCCGGAGCCTCCCAGGGGATTCAACAGTGTCCTCTGAGGCCCTGAAGCCAGAGCGGGGTAGAAGGCACTGTGGTCAGAGCCCCCGTGGAGAGGTAGTCCTAGTCCCCAAGGCAGGAGGATGCTGCCTTCAGACTCTGGGCAACTTTTCTGAGCAGAGAGGCCCTGGACAGGGGTCTGCTCCTGGTCAGGCCTGGGATCTATACCTCACCCTACAGCCACTGCCACTGCAAAAGCCCCTGAAATAGTAATACCGATGAAGCCCCTGTGAATTGAGCACCTAGTGGTTGACAGAGTGACCCTTTCTCTGACCTGGCCTCCACCTGAAGTGGAGTCTCAGCCCCCACTCTGGCCCTGTAGGCAGAAGGTGGTGGGGCCCCTGGGAATTTGGGAGGACTGAGGCCATCCTTGAGGTAGTGTAGCCTGAGCCCAGAGGCGTCCACTAGCTGCCTGAGATCTATGGAAGGGGAGACCAGGGCGGGTGGAGATAGCCAATGTCTGGCTCAGGTGGGAGCCGCAACAGCACCATCACTGGTAATAAACTCTCCTTCAGATTCACTTCCACTGGTTTCTGTTACTTTTCACCAGGGCCCCAGTAGGGTCTTTCCTCCAACTCGCCTGCCTGGGAGGACAGGATTTAGGCCTCAGAGGAAAGAGGCTCAGAAAGCCTGGAGGCAAGACCTGACCTTGCCAGCCAGTGCCAACAAATGGACGTCCCAAGAAACTCTGAGTCTTTTCTGCTCAGCACAGCTGGGCTCTGCCAGCTCTTGAGACTCCATCCAAATGGAGGGCACCCTGGAATCAGCCCCTTCACTTCCCAGGGGAAATTCCCTCCATGATCACTTTATGAATCCATTCCTTCATGCCACAAAGCAGACAGAACCCTTGTCCCCTGGGAACTGCTATTCTAGGCAGAAAGACAGACAATAAATAAGTATGCTATACAAGAACAAGACCCGGTAAAAACGTGGTGTATGAATGCACAATTCAGTGGACTCACAGATGATTCACAAACATGGTACAGCAAACACAAGTGTGAGCCAGGCACAGGGGCGCGCAGGCCGGTCATGCCAGCAACTCAGAAAGCTGAGGCAAGTTTGAGACCCTCAGGCTCTGAGCAACTCTTGTGAGCAGAGAGACCCTGGACAGGCAAGTGAAGCCCACACAGACGCAGGCCCTTGCCTGGTCCTGGACAGGCCTGGAACATGCCCCTGGCCCCACATCCTGGATTCCTCCTCCCTAGCCTGGGCAACTCAGTGAGCTTCTGTTGCAGGTTTCAGGACCCACTGAACCTGGGCAGGGTGGACAGACACAGATATGTATGTCAGGCCAGGGAGCCTGAACCAGAGGACCCACAGGCCCAGGGACGTGCCCAGAGCCATCAGTGGGCAGGTGGAAAGAGGGAGACCAACTGTGCCACAAGCTGAGAGAGCTGGAGGATGCGGTCTCCGAGCTGGGGGCACCGTGGAGAGGGAGAGATCTGGAGAAGGGGAAGAAACCACCTCCAGAGCCCACAGAGGTCCCCTAAATCCACCGTTGCGGACCGGCATCTTGGGGGTCAAAGGACTCCTCACTCAGGTCTCTGGTTGGCCACAGCCACGACCAACGGGACCACAACAGGTCCTGAAGACACAGCCTCGCCGCCCAGGGGAGAGGGGGCCCCCCGGCCCGAGCCCTCTGCGCCTCGGGCCCCGCCCCGTGGGCGGCTCGGGCCGGGCAGCAGGCCTTCCTGGTCACGTGTCAGTGGTGAGGCTCGCCTCCCCCAGGCAGGCCCGGGGCAGCCGGACCCAGGGGAACCGAGGGACGCAGATCGCAGATCGGGGCTGAGCAAGAGCCGCGGTAAGTCTCAGGGTCCCCCCGCGCGCCCTCCCCAGCTCCCGCTCCTCCCGCACCACCCGCTGCGTCCCGGCCCGGCCCCTTCCGCCCTCCCCTCCCAGGGGGGCTTGCCCCTGGGCTGAGCTTCCTCGTTCCACGTCAGGGCTTCCGAACTCAGGAAGGGGCGGCTTGAGCAGCAGACCGGAGACCCGCCAAGGTTAGAATCTGGGCTCCAAAGCCCGAGTTTGAGGGGCAAGTTTAGAGACTGAATTGAGTCCCTGGAGGTCCGTGGTGCGGTGTTTTCCTGGGTGGCCCTTAGATCCCACCACATCTAGGGCGTGGGCCACGTCCTGAGGAGGACTTTACAGTCTGAAGAGGGAGCCCACCCAGTCACGGCCTCTTGACCCCCTTCGCCAGGTCACCCCCTAAGTGAGCCTTCCATGGAGGATGCCTGGGAAGACCCGACCACATTTACTGCCCAGTCTCTGCCCACTGATCCCCGGCTCTTGGCCACTGTGACCAATGCATACCTGGGCACACGTGTGTATCATGACACACTGCATGTGAGTGGCTTGTACAATGGGGCTGGGGGTGGCACACACCGAGCAGTTCTGCCCAGCCCCCTCAACGTCAAACTGGAGGCCCCTGCAGAGACAGAAAAGCAGATGGAGGAGACCTTTGCCCTGGACACCAACACAGGTAGCTGCACTGTCTGGCTCCCTCTCAGCCACTGTGGAGCACAGCTCCCTCCAGCTTCACCTCACTTTCAGTAGGCAGTCTTTAAGGAGAAGAGGCCACGAGAGACCCCGTCTTGGGTTCTCCCCTTTCCCTCCCTCTGGGTGGGCCTCCTGGGGTCCTGGGCAGAGCCTGGGTCCTGTACAGCGGGGCCTGGAGGACGCATTCACCCTCACTGTGGGGAGAAGCCACCAGAAACCTGAGGGACACCACTGCCAGCCCAGGGAGGCCCCAGTGCTGTATGGCCCAAGGCGCTGGGAGGCCACAGCTTTGCAGCCTGCCTGGGGGGGCCCTGCTTCCCCAGTGACTGAAGCTTCTCACCCTCCCCAGGCTCCTTTCTGCACACCCTGGGGAGCTCCAGCTTCCAGGCCTGCCAGCGCATCTATGCCCACCGCACGCTGCCCCACATTCTGGCCTTCAGCGTGTCTATTGCCCGCTTGGAAGCAGGGAGCTCGCCTGTCACGGTGCTGCTGCGTTCATCCTTCTCCCTAGAAAGCCCAGACCTGGACTTGCATCTGGGGCCCGACGTCCAGGGATTCCGGTGAGGAGGGGGCTCTGTCCCAAGTCCCAGCAGGGTAACCTAAAGAGGGAGCCACCCCTGAGGTGGCTGCCCTCTTGCAGGTACCTGTACGGCCACACACTCACCCCTGAACAACCTGGGGGGCCACGACAGGAGGTGCACATGCTGTGGACACCAGTGCCCCTGACATTGACCCTTGGGGAACACGAGAAGAACAGGACCTGGGACTTCCTGACTGTCGTGGGCAGCAGCCAGGCAGAGGCCCAGGCCTACCTCCAGGAGGCCCTGCATCTGCAGGCCAGAGGCTCTCTATACCCAGCCCATGCCCAGTCCTGGGCCCAGCTGTGGGCAGGCTGTGGCCTGGATGTGGTAGGACCACTGCCCCTGCGCCAGGCCCTTCGTGGCTCCCTCTACTACCTGCTCAGTGCCCTACCCCAACCCGGGGCTTTAGGGTATGTCTGTCATGGCCTCAGCCCCGGGGGCCTCTCCAATGGGAGCCAGGAGGAGTGCTACTGGGGCCACGTCTTCTGGGATCAGGTACACGTCATCCCACACCACCACCACACTAAGGGCGGCACGGGGATCGGGGTTGGGATGGGCCAGCACAGGGCTGTGCCGAGGGGAGGGCTTCCTGAGGAGGTGCTATCTCGGCAGTGCGGGGATCCGTTGGAGAGCGAGCCAAGCAGGAGCACCAGAAGATGCACATGGCAGCGCCTGTGGTACTTGCAGCAGGGGCCCCACTAGATGGGAGGAGCAGTGGGGCACAGGGCCGAGAGTTTACCTGAGGGCGAGGAAACCAGGGACATTTAATCAGGGAGTGACACAGAGGCCCATTCTGGGAAGACCCCAGGTGGAGAAGAGCAAGGGGTGGGGTCAGAATAAGCTGAGGGTGCGGGCGTGAGGAGGCTGATTGGCACCGGGCCAGGAGGCGCGGAGAGTGCTTCCTCATGTGCCTCCCAAGTCAGCCCTGACTCCTATTTTATGGGCGAGGCCAGGGAGGCTGAGGTCAGAGCAGGCTCCTCCTGTGGGGGCCTGTGCCTAGATTCGGGCCTGGGAACTCACCTGCTGGCCAGGGAGGGGAAGTGGAAGGCTGGGGAGGGGCTGGTGGATCTGGATGGTCATCAGGAAGAACGCGGAAGGAGGCAGAGAGGGTGCAGCAATTGCCCAGCCAGGGCAGGATGTGGAAGGAGGGGAGGAGAAGGTGTAAGCCCTTCTAGCTCCAGCACAAGGACTGTCCTCAGGACCTCTGGATGTTCCCAAGTATCCTGATGTTCCACCCAGAGGCTGCCAGGGCCATCCTGGAGTACCGCATCAGGACACTGAGTGGGGCCCTGGAAAACGCGCGGAACCTGGGCTACCAGGTGAGGGAGCCTGGGCACCACCCCGTGGGGCCACCGTAGGGTCCACACACAAAGAACTGGGCAAGAGCCTCCTGGCCCACGGAGGAACGTGCAGTGGCTCCAGAGCCCCCACCTCCTCCTCTTTTTGCCCTTCCACAAGGTCCCATGGGGAAGGCTACGGTTGGGTAGCGTCTGCCCTCTCCCCCACAGGGAGCCAAGTTTGCTTGGGAGAGTGCAGGCTCTGGCCTGGAGGTCTGCCCTGAGGACATTTATGGGGCTCAGGAGATCCACATCAACGGGGCGGTCCTGTTGGCCTTCCAGCTGTACTACGACACCACCCAGGTGAGGTGTTCCATCCCCCAGCCCTGCCACCCTAGGCCTGCTGTCACAGAGAGCATCTGGGAGCCAGGCCTTCCTTTCTGGGCCCTGGATGGGTGGGCACTCAGCACACATAGGACCCTTGGCCCCCAGGATCTGCAGCTTTTCCGGGAGGCTGGTGGCTGGGATGTGGTCAGTGCTGTCGCTGAGTTCTGGTGCAGCCGTGTAGAGTGGAGCTCCAGGGAGAAGCAGTACCACCTGAGAGGTGAGGTGATCCCTGGGAGAAATGGTCAGGAGGAGGGACTGCTGGGGGGCAGGCAGCCTGTGCCGAGCACTGTCCGGACCTGTGTGCCCAGGAGTCATGCCCCCTGATGAGTTCCATTCAGGAGTCAACAACTCCACCTACACCAACGTCCTGGTCCAGACCAGGTCAGCCTCGAGACCGTGCCCCAGCCCCAGCCCAGCAAGCAGGGCCAGCCAGAAACACTGAGGCTGCAGCTTGTCCTCTCTCTACAGTCTGCACTTTGCAGCTGGTCTGGCCGAGGACCTGGGTCTGCCTGTCCCCAACCAGTGGCTGGTGGTGGCTGATAAGATCAAGGTGCCCTTTGACCCGGAGCGAAACTTCCACCCTGAATTTGATGGGTATGAGCCTGGTGAGTGGACCCTGACTTCTGCCAAGGGCCCTTCTGCCTGGCCGAAGACCCGTGCATCCACCCTGATGTGCCCTCAACAGCAGCATCTTCCCCAGGAGAGGAAGTGAAGCAGGCTGATGTCGTGCTCCTGGGGTACCCGGTCCCCTTCCCCCTGAGTCCTGACGTCCGCAGGAAGAACCTGGAGATGTACGAGGCTGTGACATCCCCCCAGGGCCCAGCCATGACCTGGGTGAGAAGCCTGGGGAGTGGCCCCACCTTACCAGCCTCGGTCTTTCTCTCCATAAGCTGGGTTTCACCCCACTGAACTCTGAACTCTGACCCCAGAGCATGTTTGCGGTGGGCTGGATGGAGTTGAAGGACCCATTGAGGGCACGAAGGCTTCTGGACAGGAGTTTGACCAATGTCACTGAGCCCTTCAAGGTCAGCCTGGCTCCAGTCCAGGGCCCTCTTACTGACCACTCTGCTGCCAGTGTCCATGGGGGGAGGTATGGTCACAGAGGAATCATTGCCCTGGCAGTTCCTGCCTGACCTTGGGATGGCAGCCCCAGGAGGTGCAGTGTCCTGGGGTCCCTGGCACTGACGGCCCGTGACCTCCAGGTGTGGACGGAGAATGCCGACGGGTCGGGTGCAGTGAACTTCCTGACAGGCATGGGGGGCTTCCTGCAGGCGGTACTCTTCGGAACCACAGGCCTCAGGTGAGTGCCGGGTGGCACCGAGGGTGGCCCCCTGCCCCTCCCTTCTCACACAGCTCTCCCTGCAGGGTCACCCGGGCAGGCATGACCTTTGACCCCCTGTGTCCAGCGGGGGTCTCCGGAGTGTGTGTCTCTGGCATCTCCTACCAGGGGAACAAGCTCAACTTTATCGTCTCCGAGGACTCCATGACAGTTGAGGTCACGGCCCAGGCTGGGCCCTGGGCCCCTCTGTTGGAGGCTGAGCTCTGGCCATCACAGGTGCGGCTGCCTCTGCTGCCAGGTAGGTAGAGGAGAGGTCTGAGTGATGAGACCGGGATGCCAGTGTGTACCTACAGGGCGCCCCTCTCTCCCTGCAGGACACAAGGCCTCCTTTCCCCACTCAGCTGGCCGCATACAAAGGTCGCTCCCAGAGCTGCCTGAAGCTCTGACTCCAAGAATTTCCCAGGAGAAGCTTTGAAGACAGACCTCTGCTACAGAGCCTGGGACATCCTGCAGCCCTCAGCCCCCAGGCCCTCCCCCGGAACCCTGCCCCTGAATGGCCAGGGCTGCTGGCTTCAGAAATGTCTCCTGAACCCCGCTTTTCATCACTGCCCCTGCTCCTCGCCCAGCTCTCCCCCAGTCCCAGGCGGTCTGCCTGGCTTGAGCCCCTCCCCAGCCTCGACTCCACGGGCAGCCAGTTTTCCACACCTCATCTGACCTGGCACCCCGTCTCTCAGTGCCCCACCTTGCTCCCCAGGCACTTTCCAGGGCCCCTGCAGCCAGGGCCTGAGTGTCCACACTCACACCCACCTAGACTCTGGTCACGGGGCCCGTGAGGGGAGTTACTGGCAGGGTGAGGGTGAGGAGGAAGGGGCTCCACCCCGGCGCAGTTGCCCAGGACTGTCGGCTACCGCTTTACCAGAATTGAGCTTTCCCCTCAGTGCAGCTGTGGTCAGGCAGGGCTGGACCAGGGGCGCACGGGTGTCATCACTGACTCCTCTTGACTCCATGTCAGATGGCCTCTGGCACTGTGGGGTGGGGTGGGCAGCCCGTCCTCAACCCCACGGCCTATGAGAAGGGAAGGGGGTGCCATTGCTGGAGGATAGGACTGGGGTGCCAGAGCAAGACCCTCAACTCCCCACTGGCCACCAGAGGGACTAGACTCAAATGTGCTTGGGTTCCAGGCCTTGATCCCAGGCCAGGCTGTGACAGGCGGGCTGTTCAAAGACAGAGATTCTGCCTGGCAGCAGCTCCCACATCCTCAAGCCTGGGGTGGCTCACAGCGACTTCCCTAGAACCAGCTGAGAAGGCATCTGGAGCTGAGACACTGGTGAGGTCCAGACCCGGCACCAGACAACCTGCAGAGTCCACTCAGTGCTGGGCAGAGCTTTGCTCCTATAAAGGCCTATACCTTCTTCTGAAAGGGGCTGTGTGATGTCGAGTTTCCACCTCACCTGCGGGCAAGTGCAGCAGCTTGGGAGCCGGGTGGTCCCATCGCGCCTGCCTCCACTCCTTGCTGTGTCCTGCCACTGCCCCCTGGTCGCAGTTGAGAGTCAGTCTCTTCACCCAGCAGACACCAGGCAGAGCCCTCCTGGGCTTCAGGCAGCCCTAGATGTGGGAATCCCAGGGCCTGTCTCCTGTCTCCCGTCCTCAGCCCCTCAGGCTGGGACACTCGTGGCCTTAGCCAGCTGCCTCCACACCCAGGAGATTTGAAAGGAGGGTTCTCACGGCCACCCCAATAGAAAGTGTGGAGTGCAGAGGCAGGGATCCCTGGACACCAGGCCTCCAGGACACAGTGAGCCAGCAGCATGCTTGCTGGAGCTCAGAGCCAAGGTGGGCAGGGGCTGAGGGTCAAGTTGCAGACCACATGCAGGCCAGTGCATGGCTTGAAGCCAAGGGTGCCTACAGGCTTTTCACTAAAGGCCCTATAAACACTATGGCTGGGTGACAAGGCAGATCTGCTGAGGACCGTGGGCCCCTTCTCTCTGCTGTGGGCCAGGGATTGTCCTAATGGGAGTGGACATTCATTTTTTGCAGCCTCAAAGTCAGGATTGGGCAAAGACATCACAATGGGGTGGCAGGTGGCCCTGAACCCATAGGATTTTGTGGCCTGGTACTTGCTATGTCTGAGCGTGATTTTATACAGTCACCTCTGTGCATGTGATGGGCCCATGGGGTGAGAGTATGTGTGCCCACAGGCCTGGCCAGCATCCATCAACCTGCCAAGATGAGCCTGGGGAGAGAGGGCGCTGGTAACACTTCCCCAAGTGACTTGGCCACACGTCCTCAGTGGCTGGTCACCGACTAGACAACCTCCTCATTGTTGACGAGATCGTGGGGACTGGTAAAATATCCCACCTTTAGGGATATGTTCCCAGCCACACAGAGGTTGATGCCTGCCCCCAGCCTCTTCGTCCAGCATAGGCTGACCCCTACTTGAACCAAACCCAGGGCTTAGGGTCAGCATATTGTCTCTATTCCAGTTCAAGCAGAGGTCTCACACTTCCCTTGACCCTAATTCACGGTGGGACTTTCTCCAGGGCCCAACATGGGCCTGTGCGTCTCCACCCCCAGGTCCCAGCACAGGGCCACACACCCTATCTTCAGCAAGGGTCTCAGGCATGTCACAGGTTGGGGACTGTGTGGGGTCTCCAAGTAGAGCAATAGACAAGAGACCCCTGCCTCTATCCCTGGAAGAGCTGGCAGGCAAAGGGGTCTTCCTGGGGAGGGAGCCCGAGTGGAGTCTTCAAACCCCTGAGCGTCCTTCTGGCTCAGACCCCAGTGACGTGCTGGGGCCGCACCCCAGCCTCAGCCTCATGTGTGTTTGGGTGTGTGTCCCCAGGTGCTGGGCCCTGCCAGTTTTGCTGTGTGGGGGTATTGGGGTGCCATGTGGTACATAGGGAGGTGAGGTAGTACAGGAACATGTACCCAGCACAGGGGCTCCGACGGGGTTTCCCACATCTACATCCCCATGACTGCTTCTGCACAGCTGGGTGGACGAGAGAGGGACGGAGGGGGAGCCAGGGGCCTTGCCTGCACTTGTGTACATGCGTGGATGGTGGAAACAGTGTCCAGCTGCACCCAGGAAGATGGGGGACCAGGAGGGAGGGAGACCGCCACCATGCTGAAACCACTGGGATTTGAAGGCACACACAGACCAGGAGGGGCAGCACACAGCCGGGCGGGGCCCGTTCGGAACACCAGCCACCAAACCACAGGCAGCTGGGATCAGAGGCCTGTGTCCCCGACTTCAGGCTGAAACACTCGGGCGCCTCCACCCCGTCGCCACAGGCCACCCTGGGGCACAGTGAAGGGGGACAGTGGGGAACAGCTGAGCAGAGCAGGGTGGGCCTGGGGGAGTCCCCACAGCAGCCACCCCCGCAGCACCCCCCCACACTGAAGCCAGGAAGGAGGCCCTGGAGGCATGTCAGGGACCTGGCACTTTTAATTGTGATGGAGGTGGAGCCTGCTGAGTAAGAGGGAAGGGTCAGAGGTAGGAGTTAGGGGCCCTCAGGGTTAGGGCCAGGTCCCTGGGGTCTGAATGGTCAGCACTGGGTAGCCAGGTTGGGCCAGGGGCCGCCAGGGGCCTCCAGGGTCAGGGGACGGCACAGCTCAAGGCCCTATGAGAGCCAGCATCCAGCTCAAGGCCTTCAAGGGTTGGGGTCCGGGGACAGGATAGGACAGGACCCGGCCTGTCAGTCATAGTCTGTGTCTTCGAACTTGGTGCTGAAGAAGGCCGCAGAGTCCTTGGCCAAGCGGGAGAGGTGCAGGGCACCAGTCACCACCAGCCCCAGCAGCAGCAGCGGAGGCACCAGTGTCCACATCGCAGCCAGGATGTTGTAACACTTGGCTCTGGAGCCGTATCGCCGTGCTGCCTCCAGATCCCCAGCCACCTTCTGGTCTCGGGCCTGCAGGGCAGCCGAAGGGCCAGATCAACACCTGCCTGGGGGCCTGGCCACAGATGCACCCAGAGCACCTGGAGGGTCTGCACCGGACCCAGGATCGAGGTGGAGGGGTGTGGCCTGAGGGGACACTCTCTGGGCTAGACCCACTTCCTCCATGGTCCCCAGCTTGACACACTGCTTGACACTTGGTGGGCCTTGGGTCATGATGGCCACCCAGCCCAATGGGTGCTGCAAGGGGCGCCTGGCTCCTTGTGTCCAAGATATGGACCCAGTGGCCATCACAGGTCAGCATCAGCTCCCAAGATCCCTCTGCAGGCAGGGAGTCCTCTGGGGAGCTGAGACCACAAACCCACATAGGAACGGAAGCCACGGGTCTCACTAAAGAGCCACAGCAGATGAGAGTCCCCCTCTGGGGAAAGGGAACTCTGCAGGTGGCCCCATGGACGCTGTCATCATCAAGGGACGGTCTCCACCTTTAGGAGCAGGGCTTTGCTATAGATAGCACCCCCTGAGTGGAGAAGCAGAGGTTCTCTCACCTTGGAGAGAAACTGTGGCCACACTAACACAGCCCCCTTCACAAGCTGCCCCCTTCGAGCCCCCAGCCACTCTGGCAGACCCTGAACTCTCCGCACAGCCCCCAGCCCCTCCTCACAACCCTGAGTCTCCCTGAAGCCCCCAGCCCCTCCCGCCACCTCTTCCGCCCACCTTGATGGAGTGCACCAGCGCCAGGAAGCCGAGGCAGCACAGGTTCAGGTAGAGTGTGCTGAAGGCTGACCAGATCAAGTGGTCGCGAGGCGGGGGGCTTGGCGGTCCCAGCACCAGGGCTGTGTGGGCAGCACCGTCAACCTTGCGGGGAGTGGAGGCCCGGGGGCCCTCACGGGGGTAGGACGTGTCCATGGGTTCCAGCGCCGTCTCTTCCTTGCTGGGACTTGCACTTCCAGGGTGGGCACCAAGTCTGCTTATAGCCCTGCGGCCTGCCTCCCTGCCCACCAGCTCTGCTTGCTAAATATAGCACAAATTACAGCCTGGAGCCTGGGAGCAAGGCGGGTCCTCCTGCCCCAGTGTCCCCACCCTCACCCTGGGGACCCAGAAAGACCACTGTCAGACCACCGACCAGAGCCCCCCCCATGTCCTGGCCACCCACCCCAGGAAGACCCCAAGTCAGACGGCTGAGAGGCAGTGGCTGCCCACTGCCTTCCAGGTCCAACTCAGGACTGTGGGTGGCCATGATGCCTCAGTCACAGGCAAGAGGCAGAGCCCTCCAGGCTTGGACAAAGCCTCCTCCTCCCGACCAGAACTGCTGACAGCCAGCCCTCATGCCCCAGGACTCAGCCTCCCACTGCTGTGTGAGGCGGGTGGGGTGGGGGCCAGATGCTTCGGTCAGAGAGGGAAGTCTGAGGAGAAAGCTCCAGGGGAGAGGGACCATGAGGCAGCCATCTGGGACTGGCCACACCCCAGCAGTGCTGCCCGGACTGCCAGGAGCCACCTGGCCTTCCAAGGGGTTGGCGTAGACATGCCCCTGGGCCATCCTCGACCTCCTAGGCAGGCAGGTCCTCCGCTGTCCTGAAATGCTAGTGGGTGGGGTGGTCCCTTGGGGGCTCAGGGCTTCCTCCTGCTGTCCTCCTCTTGAGATGGCTCCCCAGCCTCAGGCTGTAGATGCCTCTTGGCCAGCGGCCCACATGTAGTGCCAGGAGGGACTTTTCTCCAGCTCCAAGCTCACAGGGCCCAGTGCCACTCAGCTGAGGGACCATGTTGCCCCTGCCTGCTCTGAATTCCCCCGACACCTGCGCTGCCCTGCCTTCCCAAGAGCCCAACCAGATGCTTGGGCCAAACGCTTACTCCTGCCAAACCCTAGGGCCCACACCCCCACGGGGACCCCCCGAGACCAAGATGCCCAGGCCTCCTCCTGGGGCTCCCTGCTGCTGAGCTAGAGCCCCCAGTGCCCATAGTTGTCCTGTTGAAATACCCCTCCCTCACCTGCCTAGAGCACAGCAAAGGCTCCCCCTCACGCCCATGACCACAACACTGACCAGCAAGAAACTGGGACGTCCTTCCCATCCACATCCTGTGAAATGCAAATTCCGGGGAAGTGCTGGGTAGGACGTTTATCAGGGAAGATCCGAGCCCTGTGGAAGGAGGGAAAGAACGGAGGAAGAGTGGCCACTAGGCCCAGCAAGGACCCAAGGTAACCACAGAGGAGCTCTGGGCCAGGGAAAACCATTAGAGACGTCCAGAGTAGGGAGTCCAGGAGATCACTCTGTGTTGGCCACACATTAGAAGCTGGATGTGACCTGGGAAGGAAAGACTTCAAGTGTCACCAACAATGGCAGCAGAAGTGGATGTGCACGCACAGAACTCATGAAAAGCCCACCACGTCCAGCGCCCGCACACCCAGATCCGAGACCGCCCCACCTGGCTTTCTGCTATTCCTGGGCTCCCTGGGGCGGGTCTGCAGCAGTCCACGCTCCTCCACCAGAGCCTTCTCTCCTGCAGGACCAGACTGGCAAAGGAGCGGAGGGCAGATGGCCAGTGCCTGACCCAGGAGGCTCTGTTCATGGCTCTACCCGGGTGAGTATTCTCTGGCTGGGGGTAGCTAGAGGGGAGCACCCGGGCCCTTTCACCTGGCTGATCACACTCTGCTGACTCCTGCACAGCAGGCCACCCACCCAGCGTGGCTTCTGCCAACCTCTGTTGCTCCTGTTCCAGTCACACGTTTGAGGAATGGAAAGTGCCTGCTGGAAGGGTCTGTGGCCTGAAGCCCACTGTGAGTGGACTTTGGATCTGGACCCTGCTGACCCCTTGGTGCCCCCGCACCCAGTGGACAAGGAGTCATGTTGACACTCTGGGTGTCGAGACCCTCACCTGCTCCTATATGTCCACTGTGCCCAGCACCTCTGGAGTCCCCTGTCCTTGGGTCCATTGCCCAAGCAATATCCACATGGTCTGTGGGAAGGACTCGGGTGTAAGGGTGTGTCCACAGCCATCACATGGCACTGTCTTTTGTCCTGGGGACTCTGCCCTCCTAGTCGCGAGGCTGTGTCTGAAGTTGAGTGAAGGCTCAGGGTCTGACCCTGGGGGAGCATTGCCCTGGGTCCTACCTCGACACCTTTTCCTATCATCTCTAATGATAGACACCAAGGGTGGCAGTGATACAGACACTGGGAACTGTGACTCAGTGACGATGGAGACGAGATGGAGTTGCATGAGCACAAATTCACAGCTGAGCCTTGGCTGGGCCTCTGCCTGGGCAGGAAGCCCCAGCTCCACAGGGAAGTCCAGGCCCACTCCTGGAGCCCAGGAAGCAGCTGCTCAATGGCTGCTGGGGTGGATTAGGGAGGCATGACGCAGGCGGACCTCAGCTGGTGCAGGCCCTTTAACCCAGGTGTCTTGACCTGCGGGAAGGAGGAGCCAGTGAGGCACCTGGCTCTGAGGACGCCCTGTGCAGTGTGAGGCGGGTAAACCAGGCACCTTTGGTATCTGACAAAGTGTGGGTGAGGGTGGGACCTTTCCAGGGCCACCAGGGAGGAGTCAGAAGAGGAGGGTGTCTTCCCTTTGTCCCCATGAAGAGCCTTGGCTGTCTCAACAGAACTGCTCACCACAAACACAGCTGTGTTAGAAGCAGCTGGCCAGAATGCCCAAAGGGCAGCACGACAGGCAGGGGCGGAAGTGGAGCAGGAGGCTCTTCCTGCACTGCTTCCCAGCGCGGGTCCCTCTGCTCACCCCTGGGGCA